CTCGATACAATACGTCTGATTAGAAATGACTACTAATAACTAATAAATGCATGTTAGGTATTACTTATTACTACATCTGTTTGGTTTGATTTCGGCATCATACTAAATTGTTCGGTTTGAAGTATGATTAAAAAGTTGGTTTCAATATACTTGGTGCTAAAAATTTGATTAGAGTTTGTTTAGAGACCATCATATTTTTGAGCTAAACCCAACACATAACTACTACAATAATTTCCTATTCAATTTCATTTATTATTATTAAAATTTTAAAATAAAAAATTAAGTAAATGACTGATCCAAACCTAGCTGGTGCTCACAATGATACCTAAGATTTACTTAATATTTGAGACTTATTCAAATAAAAATCTAAACATTATCTATTTATCTACATTTGCTATTTGTGTTATATACCGTTGTAGCTTTATTTTTTTGTTTTATGGAATTATTATATTTACAAGTATCTATAAGTACTATATATTATCCTTATAGGGATTTACAAATAATTACTATCTGCTCATACCAAAGTTTTAGTTCGTTCATAGTTTATACTTTGTACATTAATCTACTTAACGATTCTACATTTTTATTTATTATTGATATAAAAGTATTTAACAAGCATTTATTTTAGTGTAAAAATGAGATGGACAACTGAATAATTCGAGCAAAGTAAGTAAATAAATTATATTRATTATACAGTGCTTTGTCTTACCACTATAATACTATAATTTTATACTTTATGTCATTGTCAAGAAACCCAATCATAGTAAAAATATATTTTATAAATATAGATATTTTGAAGTAGCGCCTTTAATCAAGTTGTCAAGCCTTATACATTTTTTTGTATTCATATATTACTTATTGTAATTGTTTACACAGATTGTAAATATTTGTTTTCTCAATACAAAAATACATGTAAATAATAATACTATTAAAGTTAATACTAAAATAAAGTAGAGTTAACAATCAAAAAATAATTATAATTTGATAAATAGTTAAATTTCTTCCATTTTAGGTGAGTTATGTAATATATATATATATATATATATCATATAACCTAACGAGATAGCAATTGTTATTGCATTTATTCATAATATTTTGAGAAAAGATTTCCACAAGAGTTTTGTGTAATTCGTGTAGCTATATGTACATTTTATTTTAAATTAGTTATATAATTTAGAGAAATATATACATTGAAACTGAAATTTCATGCTTCCATAATCTTAATATAATAGTTTAATTAGAATAATATAGTTAGGWTAATACTATAAATCATTAACTAGTTATATTTCTTGAATTAATTAAATTATGATTATTAACTATAATGGCAATTTTGTAACTTTGTAATTAGAAATGAAAAGTACAAACAATATTTCTTATCAAATAATACTTGATTTAACATTTTGAAGCATTTATAAAGTTTTAAAATACTTAATATTAAATACCTTACTAATAATTACGTATTACTTATTATTATATTTTTATTTGCTCATGGGATTACAGTGATAAGTGGCATGTTATAATGCATAAATAATGCATTCCTTTAAGTAAATTAATATACATAAAAATAATTTAATATTCTTGTAGGATTTAATTACCTATTGATTATTATTATTATTTTGTTTGACTTTGGGAAAAGCCATTAAACATTTTATAAATTAGGAATTATATTAAAAATTATAGATTGATAATATTTCAAATACAATGTATTAATACAGTTATAGTTCACAAAATATCTACAATTGGTATCAGAGACGGTTTGAGTATACTGTTTTTAGAGCACTGCACCGCCAATGTTTAKGTGGGTGGGTGGTCTTGGTTGAGCATGTGCTGACCSCAATGTTTAATTTTAATKTTCAATAAATGCAAAAAGTAATAAAGTACCTAATCAATGACATATGATAAATGATAATCGTGGCTGAAACTATTGAAAGCGTCGAGTTAAGAATATAAGGGCCTTATAATTATAAACTATAAACTTTAAAAAAAATTTTTATTTGTAATTTCTATTATGGTGGTGGTGGGGGGTGGGTGTCTATATATTGTCTTGCACCACTAAGTATAATACATTCAAACAGCCTCTGATTGGTATAAAAATTTACTTTCATCAACATCACTCAAATTAAATATTCTCGAGTAATATCAATGACATATCATGATTTACTTTCTTTTTTAGTGGTGGTCTTGCGTTTTGTTGCTTGTTTTGTCTTGAGCTTTGATATAGTTGATGTTGTTTTATTAGATTTTGATTTAACTTGTGCTTTATTTGTAGATTTATTTCTTATAGAGGTTGAAAGCTGCATACTTGAATTTTGTTTTCGAGTGCTTAAATGTTGTTCTATTAAACCAGGTAATATTTGTTGTTCAGMTAACATACTTAAAAACGTACATATAAACTGATCGTAATTATGTGTACGTCGACAATTATCAATTTTATATTTATTTCGTTTTTCGTTTTCCTCTCGCAATATACCTAAAAATATTAAATAAATATATAACTTAGTGAATATTTTAGTATTTTAAATTAAATTACCTTCATTCATATTTATTTCAAACTCTAAATTTGTAACTAAAGTATTTAGTTCTTCAGAAGAATAAGTATGGTTGGATTTTAAATTTTTTTTCATTTTTTGGCCATTATTATCTTCTTTAGTTGAAGATTGACTTGACAGTGTTTGCCATTCTTTAGGCGTAGCTCTTTCTTCTAGACATACACTTTTCATTTCTTTTGTACTTTTGTCACCTGATCCATAACTTGATGATTGTTCACAGGAAGCTACAACATTATTTGATTCTGAACACATCTGAAAAATTTTAAAACTCAAACAATAAATTAAGGAAACAAAAATATTTACACAAGTTTTCTTTTAATATTATTTCAAAATTATTTTAGATTTTGGATGAGAAAAAATAATTACAATGTATTTGTTAATTATTTTTTAAGATAATTTAGACATGTTTCAGCAGTGTTTCTTTAGAAAATGAATTTGAGGTAAAATTWGTTTGAGGTATTGAATTAAAAATTTTTCAATGGATGGATATTTTTATGTTCATAAATATATGGTAGGCATTGTATTTTTTTATTATAGTTCTGTAATATAAACCTACAATACTTTACACTACCTTCAAAATATAATTTTTTTAATTTGATTAATTTAGATTTTTGATTAAAAATAAACTACCTTGAAGGCTGAAAGTAAGATGATTAATATAATGTATCATTAAACAAATTGTACATTTGTGTGGATATTTATTTGACATCAATATAAGATGATAACAAATACATCATTCTGTATGCTACAACTACATTATAAACAGGGTTTAATTGTTTTTCTCTTAAGGATGAAACAAATCATACTACCTTTTTTTTATCATAGTCTTTTGATGTGCTAGGAATGGGTGAAATGTCTTTTTTAACACATTTGCTCTGCAATTGATCATTATTATTCTCCTGTGTTTCTTTTTTAAATTCAGCTAACTTTACTTGTTGTAAAGCGTCTAATACAATTCGTCTATTTGTTTTGAGACTATTTAATTTGCGGGTAGTAGTTAATCGTTTATCTGGAATAACAGCCATCAGATTGAATCGTATATCACCATACTCAGCTGTTGCTCCGATTCGATCACTTATCACCTTTAAAAATTTTTTTGTCCAATTTTCATTTTCAGCCAACTGCCCATGGTCCATGGGATATGGTTTCAATCCATCCAGTTCATATAAATGACCATTTATGGGCACATAACTGACAAAGTGATATGCTTCTCCTCCGGTAAGCCACTTAGTTGTTGCGCCAGGTGTTTTATTATATATATGTGGACCACTTATTGGTATAGCATGTAAATTGTGTGCTCGTGCTAATTCAGGAGTGTTGCCAATAGCCCATCCTTTATTCTCTGGATTCATTCCTTTAGTTTGTTCTTTAAGACGTCGCAATGTCTCACCTAGATGTATATTTGAACAGTTCAGTAAAACGGACAACAGGGCATGAGTAGCACAACTATTTGGTATCATTTGTCGAGCGAAAAATATACTGTTTATAAATTCATCATCTTTGCAAAATATGTCTGTTTGGTCTTTATTTTTTTTGCGGCTACGGCGTTCTTCAATCCATCGGAACAAAAATATAAAACCATAAACTGGACTATCGAATGGTTGTTGAAGATCATAAACCTCTTCTAACTCCACACCATGCACTCCAAATTTTTCTACAAGCAAAGTAAACAAACCAGGATCGCTTTCTAACTCCAACCACCCTTGTAACAGATTATGTAAACTCGCAGGCATTTTAACAACGGTAATATAAAAAATAAGAAAACATAAACAATTTGAATTTTGACTTTCACAAAAACTATTACTATCAATTATTATATATTATCATCTATCATTTATTAAGGATACAAATCTTGATAACGAATTACTTATTCCATGAAATTTTAATTGATGGTATAGTTGTAAATTATAAACTTCGTTGTAAGAAAAAGTAAAATTATGCTTAAACAAATTATGAACAAAAGGGTATAGTTGCTCTGATGCACAGAAGTTGTCAAGTAGATCATTCTAATAGAAGTTAAGAAAGTTAAATTAATGATAAAAAATTAATACAGTTATCGCTCCACTCAGAATGTAAAATGTGTAGTCATATAGAGCGCAGCACTGTGATCGAGCACACTTTTTCAATAATGTRTGCGTTTCAAATCATAGACATATAAAGAATTGGACTGATAACAGAAAGAGGGGTTTGGGAGCCAATATCAAGTTGGTTTCAATTATGGGATACTGACTGATAACTATTGACTAGGGCCCAAATTTCAATGCAAAGTGCATTTTTAAAATTTTTTTTTTTATCAYAGACAATGCTTTCCAAGTACATAATTCGTATCATGTAACGAGTGTTTTAAAGCTAAACATTTTATTTTGCATTCTTTGCATATTTCGGCGGTTTTATGTTTTAAGAGCATTTGAAAAAGGTATGAACTCTCTCCCTAAAAAATTCCTAGCTACCACCCTGTATGGTGGTTTTACCATAACAAGTTAACAGATGTTTTCGATTTTAAAGACCTGGATTTTTAAGATTCTTATTAGAATAGTTATTGGGATCTCGATGACGCGAGGTCTATTTGTCAACAAATTTTAACATTTGCTGTGAATCTTGCCAGTCATTGTTGATGAAAATCCCTGACAGTTCATTGGGATGTGGTAAAAAGTATTTTTAAATAATTAAAAGGGACGGCTAACTATGGTTTAGTTTAATCTTTTAGTATGAAACTCAAATTTCGTGAATATAGTAAAGTAGACTAGGCCATGGATACAACTATGAGACGACAATATCAGGATCCGTTTTTATGATGACGAATGGCATGGTGTTCACAGAGGGAGAAATCTGTACTATTTTTAATTATAGAGGCAAAATACGAAACATTGAATCAGTTTTTGAGCTTATTCAGTTGATGCTACTAATCAGTGACAYGTGGAGATACACCAGTTATGTATACAGACAACCAAAGTGCAATCAAACAAGTGAAAAACCAACAATACCACAAGTGAATTAATAGTCCAGTCAAATTAGACGAAAAAGGGGGTTCAGCTCTTGAAAATTCCCACCTAGCTGAATTTTGGTACACAACTTTATGAAATCATTGTAAACTATGTGTAAAATGTCAACCTCGATATCATGTATGCGTTAAAGGTTATTCGAGGTCAAATGTTACGAAATTGGCCTTTTTAATACCTCGTTTTTTTATTAATCGTACAGTAAAAAAAATTAGATACAAATTATGAAGAAGGTAGTTCTGCAAGGTAATCTGCAAAAATGGTCTTGTATRTATAAAATGTCCATGTAAAATTGATAGTTTTTGCGTTATAAGGCCAACAAAATATACACTTTTAATGAAATATGATTTTTTCGTTGAAAAAAGTAGCTTTTGCGTTATATGGCGCTTTATATTATTCATACAATAAAACGTTTCAAACAAAAACTGTAGAAGACCAATTTATCTACAAGATGGTTATATATAAATACAATCACACCTGTGGTATACAAATTTTAATATTAACCATRCAAAATTAAAATAATACAGTGAAACCTCTCWATAACGGAATCGCATGGGACCAAACATTTTTCGGTTATAAAGAGTTTTCCGTCATAAAGAGGTAGAAATTGCACATATTATTTTCACAGGGACTACTGAAATTTTCCGTTATAAGGAGGATTCTGTTTAATAGAGAGTCCGTTGTAGAGAGGTTTTACTTTATATGATATTATATAATATTATAATAACCAGTGGCGTATCTGAGGGGGGCAATGGGTGGATCGCTCCCCCTTGGATTTTTCAGAGGTGGTTATTACATTACGGCTATAGGCTCTCAGAGTAATAGGCTAAAGTATTTATTGGATTTTATTTTATCAACGTCTTATCGTGGCCTAAAAATAATAATAATATAATCATCTGTTCATTGCATTGTTATCTAAGACCCACGTTTACTCATCCGTTTTGAAATCGCCCTCCCCCCCTTGACTGAGCTTCAGCTACGCACTGATAATAACGATGATTAGAATGCATTCGTTTCCACGGCCACCATCGAGGTAGAAGCATGGTGTGTTTTTTATGGTTTCCCCGGTGTGCTGACCTGTTTAATTTTCCTTCGATATTCTTGTCATTTTCTTTTCTCAACATTTTCGTTGGCTTCTTCACTACAAATTAAGCATAACATTTGAAATCAAATTTTCTTGTTCGTTTTTTGTTAATCCCGAAATAAAAGTCCTCTGGAAAAAATCCTCAATTTATGAATAGGTTTTTGAATTCTATAAGCCAAGATATTAGAAAACAATTTAGTAACTGACTGTATTTATACTATTTTTGTAACTATTGTTATCAATTATAATTTAGAATTTTTTAAACTAACTGATTATTAATAATTATATTTTTATATACCATTTTTTAAATGAACTGTTATTAATATTATTATTTTTACAATCGAAATATTTTTTATTACTATTTGTATTATTTGACGTATCGTTACAAAATTTGTTTAAAATTATATTTATAATATATTAATTTTTTGAATAATAAGTAAGTGACTATAATATATAATATTACCTATTTGTAATTAAACATTAAAATATGGTAATCATAGATTGTAATTAGCGTTTAAAAAATATTTATATAAATCATTTTCATATGGTTGTGAGTAATAATGAAATCTGAGGATTTTTTTCCGAGGGATTTTTATTCAGATTACCGTTTTTTGTATGTATACAGGTTGTCCCGTGAGGATTTACCCATTTCGATATCACCATTATTTCGGGAGATATCGAAATTCTGGTTTTGTAATAAGACTCACAGGGATAAGAACTACAATTATTTCATATTTTAATTTATTTTAATGTTTTGGTAAAAAAGTCAAAAAATAATTTTTTTTATTTAATTATTTCAAAAAAAAAATTGAAGATAGCCATTTTGTTGAGTTTATTTTTCTGAAAATATTGACGTTTCAAAATTTTAATTTCATTAATTTTCTGATTTTTTTTTTTAGTTTTGAGAAAAATTGCGTAATATTTAACACCGTAATGTTATCAAACATGTGACGCGCCGCGCTGCGCGCATACCCATACGGCCGGCCGAATATTTTCCGTATTTATAGTTTTTACAAATAAAAAAGTTACCCACATTTTACATTTACCTATGTAAAATGTAATATAAACTTACAAATAAGTAATACTTATATAATATGTTACTCCACAAGCACCCAGTCGCCGCGCCGCCTTTCTTCCAGACTACAGTAATATGTACAAAATACATCCAAAACGAATACATTATTATTATTGTTATTATAATATTTTAATAAAATATTATATATTATTGTAATTTTTTAATTTTGTATGGTGAACATTAAGATTTGTATAACACAATAAATTGTGATTCAATATATGAATTATATATATATATATGTCGGATCCATTTCGCGTTCTGACCCGTTTCGTGAAATGGATAGAAAATTTGTCCAGTTCGCGAAACGGAACTTATTTTTTTACGGATCGCGTAATTACACAATGAGGATAACTTTTCACGAAAAGGACACGGATTTTTAGTTATACGGAACTTGTTCCGTAATCTGTACATACAAATGACGAAACTAATACGTGAATGATTTTTATTAATAGAAACAACTTGTCGTAATAA